AACATACCCTCTCCACCCGAAGCTGACATCTAATGAAAAATGTATTGCAAGTTAAAATATTTTCTTTTGTAAAACACAAATGTCGTAACCGACCAAAACAATGTTTTCTCACCGTTGTCAAGACACCATCCTTAGATATTAGGTCCTGTCGAGCCAGGAAATTAATATGCAGAGTGTAGCGAGTGTGGGGTATGAGAAGCTGAGGATAGAGAAAAAAACCATTAACCCTCATGCTTTTTGGTTTTTCTTTTGCCAAACATAAACAATGGCTAATTCAGAAAATGTGTAGAAAGTTGGACATTTATTTAAACTAAGGAAAAACTGCCCTCTCTCAATATGCCTACTTGAGCATTGTCATGTGTTCATGACACATCATAAGCCCAAACTGACAAGAACACAAGATCCAGAACGTGCAAAATTCCTGGTATATTGTTCCCGCCCCTCAAGAGCTCAGAGTATTAAGTTAAAAGTCACTTTTCTGTTGCTGTTGTGTCAAGGGGTCAAGTTTGTCCGACAATGGAGGGAAATAAGGGTTCTTACGCTCCTTGCTCTTCTAGCTGGTCCAAATTCACAAGTTGTTTTCCACAATCACGGTCATACAATCCAAACAAGTCGATAAGGAACCAAACAGGAGACGCATAGTGTAGAGCAGATGTAGATTTGACCAATCAGAGGCCTCCTGTCTGCGGTCACCTACAATTTGGGAGAGGTGGACCAGAGTGTCGGCGCAAGGGGCGGGGACGTCTCTGCGTTCACCATGACACCTATGCAGACGATCTACTTTTGAAGTAGAAATCACCAGGTGAAGCTGATAAGAATCTTCCAGGTTATATTAGCCTGGCCTGGAGCAGGCTAACTGCATAGAATAAATCATTGTGGTATCTGATATCTAGCTACTTTTGTAAAACCGAGTTGAGGCTTAATCAGACCAGAAAATCTGGAAAATCAACTAAATCTCTTGATTCAGTTTTGAGAAATAGGCATCTGTTCTCTGTTCAGCTCACTGAGATTTTTTTCTAGGATATTTTAAATCAAGCTATATTCTCTCTTTATTCACACAAAGTACAATCACGATGAAATTCTGCAGAAAGATACCGACTAAGGTCCTATTAAGACATTTTTATCACATGACAGCTCTCTTTTTCTTTATTGTATGTTTACACATTTTAAGCAAAACCGTATTTTATGGAAATAATTATAAGCATTTTTACATTCAATTGCCTGATTTCTAAAGTCAAGACATGATGTGAAAAACAGACTTCAGAGTTGGCACAAGTGGACTGTGCTGCCCTCTAGTGGTAATACTGTGCATTCAGCTGCCATAG